TTTGATTTGCCCCTGTTTCTCTGCATTCGAAAGCCCTCTATTCTAAAACCCTTTCCTGCAAATTCTCCTTCCATCCTCCCAAAGCCATTGCTACTCAACCCATTCACTAGAGGCTTGAAGACTATGTCGAAGAAGTTGCCGGCGAAAAGATGGCGACATCAGAGTGAGATCATAAACAGAGAAACCAGAAGTACTAAAGGAAAAAAAAGTTGCAAAAGATGCTGCTTCTGCACCACAGCCAAGAACGAAATTAAATGGGTTCATTCGAACCCTCTCTCACAAACTCCGCAAGCAGTCGTGTCTTCCTATTTGTTTCTAAGTTTCTCTCTTGATTTCTCTTCAAAATTTTATTCATTCATGTTCAATGGAATAATAATTATTTGAGAAAGAAATTTCTGGAGTTAAAGTTAAGCAACCAAGGAAATCAGTGAGAAGCCACAAGTCCTAATTTATAAAAAAAAAGTTCGAGATTGATTCAATGATTGAAGTTGCGATGCACAAAGTATGAATTTAGCCTTTTAAAGTTAAAGTTATTAATCATTCTCTTCTCTTATTTTACATTAAAGTTATTTTTTTAATTGAATTTGTAGAGACTTGCTTCCCTCAATTTTATCTTTGAATTTCTTTCTTTTCTTTTCAATTATAAATGAACAAGCATAAGAAAATTAAGGATTGATGTTTAGGATCCTAAACAGAGAGAAACAATTCAACTTCCATCTCACTCTGATGTAGCCATCTTTTCGTCGATAACTTCTTCGACATAGTTTTCAAGCCTTCGGTGAATGGGTTGAGCAGCTATGGCATCGGGAGGATGGAAGGAGAATTTGCAGGAAAGGTTTTAGAATAGAGAGCTTTTGAATGCAGAGAAATAGGGGTAAATCAAAGAAGAAAAGGGGATGAAGTTATTGGTGTGAATATGAAGAATACAAAGAAGGAATTCATGTTAAGGGTTTTGTGAAAATCTGGAAAGTGGAAGCAGGGGAAAGTTGAAGATGAGCAAAATTGAGATTTTATGCTTTTAACTTGAAACGACGCCGTTTAATAATTCAATCCGACAAAAAATTAGCAAGACCGGCTGAGATCCAGTTTCCCGATTGTATATACATTTTTTTTTCTTCGAACTTATTTAGTAATTTTTTTTGGGGTGGTGCTGGCGGACAGTTAAAGTATTTCAGGCAAAATTTTGTATATTTAAGTGTGATTTTTCTTTAAATAATAACTTTTTTAATCTGTGCCTTTAAAACATTAAAAAATAAAAAATAACATTTAATTTATTACTTATCTAATAAAATTTATCTATATAACAATAACACTAAAATTAATATTTATTTTTATATTTTTTTATATAAATTTAATGTAAAAAAGCGTTTTTAACTTGTATCCTTAAAACAAATGTTAAAAAAATTTTTAAATAATTTATAAGGTACAACCCTACCTAAGAATACGTCTTATTAAATTGGTGCATAGAAGAAAACTAGAATTCTTTGAGTAGTAATTTTAAGTATCAAAACTTTGACAAGAGTTACAAGACGTACTTCTTTATTAATATATGTAACTTAAAATTGTATTTTAAGAGTTAATTATTTAAAAAAAATGAAAAATTATAGGGATAATATCTATTGTAAATTTTTATAAATTACCAAAAAAAGCTAAAGTAAATTTTTATTGATTCTCTTACATATAAGTTTTGCATAAAATTGTTGTAATTCATTCTCCACTATGAAGGGTTTAAATTTATTATAACTTTTTAGATAAAAATATAATTATTTTTTTAAAAATAAATAAATTTAAACTAATTATAATAATAAAGAGATGGTTAAGATTTTGCATAATATAAATGATATATATAAAAATTACGTATAAATTGATCATAATTCAAATTTTTATATTTCTACCATTGTAAAATAATTGTTATTTTGTATTTTAAATTTGTCAATATTAATTGTCATTTTTTATTTAAACAAATTTTTTTTTACACTTTAACTATATTATTAATTAATTAATTTTAATTAATTATCTTAATACCAAAAAATATTTATTTTTTATTTTTTTAAGAGTGTCTAATCTTTAATTTAAAAAAAAATTAAAAAGCAAATTTTTTTGGGATAAGAATAGGAGGGTAAGGTCTCTTTCTTTGTATAACCGGCCCGGTTATAAATTTTTTCTATATACGTTCCATTCTTTTCAGTCTCATATGTCATCAGGACTGCGTGACCGTGAATAAAGG